GAGATGAAGGTGTCATCTGGTTCCTTCTCAGTCTACAACAACACACGACATGAAAGGTCTGATAACAATCAGTCACAACTCACAATATTCAAAAGTTTCAACTCAAATATCAGCTCAGACTCAGCTGCTACAGTACCAGCATATGGTTTAATTAAGTTTGTTTCATTTGAACAGTCAATAAAGATCTTTGCACAGACTTCAATCAGTTTTAAACACCCCTAACCTAGCCAGTAAATTACATTCAGAACTGACCAAAGATGGAGGACCACACAGTTATCCAGTTATTACAAGAAAACAAAAGAAATAACATGAATTATAGACAAGCAGCTTCTCTTTCTGATTTCGTATGATTTATCATTAACGACTATTAGCAGTTTACAACAAACACAAAATTATTTCATAAGGCAGAGAATGCTTCAAAGCTGGTAATGGGTAGTTAAAGAAAGCAAAGCTGAGCCCATTTGTGTATTAGCCTAGACTTTGTGGTTTTAGGCTGATGTAAAGCATTATGGAGGACTGCAGTGCAAGCTAATCCAAGCAGTTAGCAAAAAGTCACTGCAAATAGAAAGCTATCACAGGCTAGCTAACTGTCTACAACAGTGAGATGGAAGATAACTGCAAACACAACCAGAGAGTTAGAGAACTGATTTATATTATTGTACACTTAACGTACACGTAACAAAACAGCACAAAACTAAGAAAAATGGTTTAAAAATGAATTGGCCCAAGCCCAGAGTTGAATATCAAATCAATGTGTTAAACCTGAGTGTTTTTCCAGGGAGGGAGCCACTGAGTCCAGATGAGGTGTGGATGGAGCACATTGTGGTCTTCAGATGTCTTTTAGTCACAGCTCTTAAACCTTAGCTAAGGTACGGAGGAGGAGCTGTCAAACTCTATGGACGCATGTTCCAAACCACCGTAACCGTTCATCTTCTTTAGCTTCAGCTGGTCGACATGGAGAAGACCCTGAGTCTCCAGGATGGAGTCCTTCTTGGTGAACATCCTGCTTATCTCCATGAAAGTCTTGTTTTTGGTCTCTGGGATGACGATGTAAACGTAGACAGCCACGGAGAAACAAACTGTGGCAAACACCAGGTAGCAATAAGCCCCAGCGGACATCTGAGGATTGGATGTGGTGGATAACCACAGGGAGAAAGAGAGAAGAAGAGAAGAGAGCAACAATTTATTTCAGTTTAGGATTCATGAGACTGACCAACAGAGGGTAGATCAACTTAGTGAAATATGAAAACGTGTTCGGGAGTCAGAGTCAGGAGATCAGAGGTCCAAAGAGGTATTGGGGAAATACAGGACGGAGTCAGGAATCATTTCCAGGTTCGGTTCACAGACAGGCAGAAATCCAGCAGGAGTCCGAAAACACGTCAGGCAAACAAATCGGAACGGGAACAGTCAGGCCCAGAGGTCCAGAGGCAGAACAGGTCAGGATCAGGCAATCAGAAACACTATGGAACACTAGAGAACTCTCACCAAAGGCTCGAATAATCTGGCAATGATGACTGGTTGAAAGCTGATTAAATAGAGGCTGAATCAGGTGGATCTGATTAATGCTAATTATAATTGGGTAGAGATAGACAGGTGAATGGAATAAGTAATCAGACCAGTCATCAGCGCCAAGGTCATGAAAAAGTGTCCATTTGAAAGTGACCCATCAGTAGAACCTACTGATCAGAAAACCAAGGACAGCTGGGTCTGATTTAATCTCAGACCAACTGCATCTGTTCTGGTCCTGGCCTCAGAGATTTTCTAAAGAACCATCGGCTTCATGGAGACCAAGGAACCCAGCAGACAACTCAGGGAGGAAGCTCTGGTCCTATTTAAATCGTAGTTATGTTCTAGAACAATCCCCAAGCTCTGCACATCTACCAAAACTCTGTTCAGGTCATCATCTGAACGTGGAGAGAGGATGGGCCACCTGTAGACCTACCAGGACTTGGAGCACACAGAGCAAAATAAAAACAAGGCAATAGTTAATCATTTAATATATCAAGAACCAATCAAAACCAGTTCAGGGTCAACATATACTGATCAAAATTAGCCTACATCTATATTACAAAT